TATATATATATATATACAAATTAGTTCGGTCCGTTTCCCTAAAAATAGCTTCAGCTGTTGTGAATGGTTCATAGTGACAGCTGATTTTCGCGGTTTCAGAGAGATTAAACATCTGCTAATAATATTCAGTTTATATCGCTTGAATTTCATACAAAAACCCTGATTTTTATTGTGTTTGTGTGTCGAATTTTGTGTTAATCAAGCAGCATTTGCGGGAGATTTTGATTTTCTGCTTTAATTGGAAGAAAAGTGCGGCTGAAACCAATCGAATGCTTGTCGAAGTTTATGGTAACACTGCTCCAACTGATAAATCATGTAGGGAATGGTTTCGATGTTTCAAGGATGGAGATTTCAGCGTTGAAGACAAGCTCTGAACAGCCAAAAAAATTCGAAGACAAAGAATTAAAGGCATTACTCGAAGAAAATCAGAGTCAAACGCAAGAGGAGCTTGCAGAATCATTGGGGATAACAAGCCGTTTCTGTACGATTGAGAGCCATGGGAATGATTCAAAAACAAGGAAATTGGTATCTTATGAAATGACCGAGAGACATTGAAAGGCGATTTTTCATTTGCGAACAGCTTCAAAGACAACAGAGGAAAAGTTTTTGCATTGGATTGTGACTGGAGATGAGAAGTAGATATTTTACGACAACCCCAAGAAGAAAAAATACTATGCTAAGCCCGGTCAATCGTTGCCATCGACCTCAATATCAACACCACGGCCGAACATTCATGCTTCGAAGATCATGCTCTGTATCTGGGACCAAAAAAGTCTTGTTTACTATGAGCTGCTGAAACCTGGCGATTCCATTACGGGCGATCGGTATCAGCTACAATTGATTCGTTTGAGTCGTGCATTGCGAGAAAAACGGTCGGAATACGAGCAGACATGATAAAGTTATTCTTCTTCATAACAACGCTCGGCCTCATGTCGCTAAAGTCGTAAAAAAATATTTGGAAACGCTCAAATGGGATGTTTTACCGCACCCGCCGTATTCTTCAGACATTGCTCCTTCTGATTACTGGATTCCGAAGGATGCAGCAAATCACCGGTTCACTTCTTTTGCAGAAATCGAAAATTGGCTCCAAAATTGGGTCGCCTCCAAAGACGATTCATTTTTTCGAGATGGAATTCGAAAATTGCCTGAGAGATGGGAAAAAGTAATAGGCAGCGATGGACAATACTTTAATTGATCTGTTCATTCATTTTGTTTTGAAATAAATGCACAAAAAAACAGATCGAACTAATTTGTACTCTCAATATATATATTAATTGTAACAATTATATATTATATATATAATTATATATTAATTGTAACAATTTGTTTGCGTGATCATTATAACGTATTCTATACTTGTTACGATATATTAATTTAAAGCACAGATTATTATTGTATTATTGTTTCAGGAAACATTTATACCAATCGCTAAAGGTCTTCCGTCCATGGTAGAAGTTTTAAAAAAACAATTGACCTTATCCGAATCAACCGTACGAGATCTACGCGAGCAGGTACACACCCTGCAAACTGCTATAGAGCAACTCATTCAAGAGAACAACGAGTTAAAGCATGTACTACAAGTAATTATTACAAAATTTTAGAGATTAATTTATCTATTTTATAATACATCAATGTTCAATCACATGATAAATGCTGTAATAAAAATTTAATTAATCTAGAGCAAAGGTTCTAATGATGGAAACATGAATGGACATGTTGGAGAACAGGAACCTGAATTAGAGCCAGTACATGATATCAAAACATCTACTATACGTGGAAATCAACGACCAGCATCTATGTATGAGACTAGAGAAGGTCTACGAAAACCAGCATGGTCAACAACCATTTGTCAAGTAATTATCTTTTTTTTTAAACAAGTTGACAAAGTATATTCAATTTTTTAAGAAGAACTCTATATTTGATCGAAACGAATCTTAGTGCTTAAATAAATTTTTGTTGTGAATTTATATACATTTTGATTCTATATATTACGCACCGAAATGTTTTCCTTAACTTAAATAGGGCGTCTTCTGCTTGGAAAAAATCTGGAAAACTTGGAATTTTCAGGGAATTTTGTTGAAATGTCAGGGATAATTTTTCAAATTCTATTTTTAAATTTAAATTCTATTGTTTGACTAGATCCTAATGCCAGATAGCAGCCGATCAGTTATTTGTATGCTAATAGCATGTGAAGGAATAATATATGGTTTACAATAGAAATAGTGGTTGTAAAGTCTGAAATCGTAAAAAATTGACCAATTGCAATCAAATGTGAAGAAAATGATCGACTTAATTTCTTATTCAGATTTTAGGACATTAGATTTCTATTGTAGACCTCGCATATGTTGCTTCTACAATGTCGGTAGTCTTAAGTCTTATCAGTGAATCAGTGAAGTTGGTCAACTTGTACGACTAAAGATGCCTTTTCATACTTATGCTCGACTTATTTTTAGCATCAAATAGATCATGTAATCGAAGTTGATGCTTGATATTAATTTTTATCGTGTTATCTGTTTTGTCACTAAAAATAAAAGTCGAGCATCAGCATGAAAAAGCACTTTAAATAAGACTACCAATTTTCTTAAGACTGGCTAAATTCGAATTTTAGAAAATGCTCAGAAGGGAATTGATGCATTTAATGAACAAGTTCAAGCTTTAAAAAATAGATTTAGATTTTGTGTTGTCTAAATGTTATTTACTTATAAATATTATTTATATATCTTTTGTTTTTTTTTTATATAAAAATTATATTTATTATATTGTAAACAAGTTATGTTTATATAGGAGAGACCGGAGCACCATGAGTCACAAAAATTCAAACTCTTAAAATGCATCTAAATATAAAAATGTTTCAGTTTTTAAAAATAATTAAAACATAATACATATTTTAAATTTTAATAAGTACATTTAATAAATATTTATTTTAAGAAAAAAATAAAAACATTTCTTAAGAAAATGACTCGTGGTGCCTCATACCAGGGTACCATAAGTCACACACAAAATAGTAGGATTATTTAAGAAATAACAGTGACCAAAGTTGAAAAGTATTTCAATTAATTTATACATTTTTAGCATAGTCACTAATACAATAAAATATAATTACAATTAACATAATTACAATTAACATAATTACAATTAACATAATTACAATTAACATAATTATTAAATAATAAAATAGAAAATTAATAAAGAAAACAAATGAGAAATAATCTTTAATATAAGGTAAAAAATTTATTATGATAAAATAAAATTAATTGTTTAGAAGTATAAACTATCCTTTTAGTACATATATTTTCTGTTAGAGATGCACCAGATATCCGGAAAATATCCGATATTATCTAGCATCTTTTTATTATCCGATAGTCGGATATCATTAGTATCTGGGAATACATCCAGTTGAAATTTGATATTCAATTGATTTTTTTCTTATACAAATGTTGTAGAAAACAAGTATGCATATTCAAAACAATATTAAAACATTTTTATATGATTAAAAAGTTATTGCATCATAAAAACATTAATGATTGATACTTTTCGATACAATGGAATTTAATCACCACCTAGATAAAAAATACGGATAACGAAGTAACAATCGTATTGTACCTGTAATATTAATTTAACAGTAGTATTAATTTAAACATTCTAGATTATGTTAAACAATGATGATCCATGATACCCTGTGATCCATGGTACCTCAGTTTCCTCTATATAATTTTTGAACTATTTGTTGGAATGTTTCTAATGTACAATGTCTCTAACTTGAAATTTCGAATAAAATTCATGGAAAAATCTGGAATTCTCAAGAAATATTTCTATAAGATTTGAGTACTCACCCTGTAATAAAATGCATTCATGAGTAGAACCAGAATAGTAATATCACTTATTAAATAAAATGGATATAGGGCAATAGAAATCAAGCACGGTAACTCTTGTGCAAACCAATACGGTTAACAAAACAACTTTATTAATAATTAATCCGCTTACATGTTTCGGCTCACTTTTGAGCCATCCTTAGAGACAATATGATGTTGTAATTATAAAAAATTTTGTTTACAAACTAATTCACTTCAGTGAGCCACCTCCACCTATTAATGGAAACTATAATGTAAAAACGAACTCTAATAACAATCTAAAATGTATTAAAATTATTAAAAGATAAATTTATTGGGGAGGGGGGGCGAGCAAAAACGATTTATTATGAAATAATAGAGGGTAGCTAAAAAATAAAACAAAAATTCCATATCGTAAATACTTAAATTCTATCTTCGATTTAGTCAAAAACCAGTTTTTGACTATTCAACGAATCAGTGTCAATTATATTGAAATTAATGAATTACTTTTAATGTACTTAAAACGTTAATCGCAAAGAAAAAGAAAAAAGAAGGGGAAAAAATTCTAATATTATAGTCCAGACGGACATCAAAACTGAATTTTTAATAATTTAATAATTTAATCTTAATGTAACAAAGAATATACATTGAGATTCAATCAGAAAGATTCAATTTTGTTTTTTAGATTGTTATTAGAATTCATTTTTATATTATAGTTTCCGTTAATAAGTGGAGGTGGCTCACTGAAGTGAATCAGTTGAAGTGAATCATTTATAAACAAAATTTTTTGTAATTACAACATCATATTGTCTCTAAGGATGGCTCAAAAGTGAGCCGAAACATGTAAGCGGATTAATTATTAATAAAGTTGTTTTATTAACCGTTTGGTTTGCGCAAGAGTTACCGTGCTTGATTCCTTGACCTGTTATATCCAACCACTTTGTATTATTACGGAGTCTTTAGGAATTAATTTATATTTAATATCACTTATTAAATTGTACAAGTAATTCAATAATCTTTTGATACTAATAGGTATCTTTTAAGAATATTAATTGTCATATGTTGATGAAATCTAAAAATTATGAATAATTTATTACGAAAAATATTATCTCGGCCAGGAATCAAACTTGTATAATCAGTAATAAGTCGAAAAAGGCTCATCAAGGTGAAGTGAAAATAGGTTATGCATGCGCATTGAGTAAAAATTAGTAAACGCACTTTATGTGTCTTTTATGTCCATTTATTGACTGTCAAAGGAGATAAGGATGGTTTTTTCATTTATTTTTACAAGTGTTTTAAAACGATCTCATCATTTTATCTCATTCAAATTCTTTTTATTTACAAATAACACCAAGAAAAATCAACAATGTGTCAGTTATGACACATTTCTTGCTTATGACGTTACGATTCAATATGGCTGGAGCGAATACTCCAGAGCCTTAAATTATCGAGGCTTATTATCTATCTATCGTATTTATTTGTATTGTTTCATTTAGACAAAACGTGATACTGAAGTATTATCACGGAATAACACGCAAAGTTTGTGGGAATGTGGTCTACCTAATCTGCCACCCAGTGAAGAAGTAACTCGACGGACAGAACAAGTTACTAGGCGAATTCAAGAGCTATGGATGGCTATGCAAGATCCAAGCCAACGAGAAGCCTTCGTTCCTTGCGCTGAGAGAATACGTGTTGCTGTGGCCGAGTTAACAGCTATATTTCCTCAAGTAAAATTACTGTTTATTCTTTTATTTGTCCTTCTCTTTCGCTGATAGAAGCAATCTCTACTGTATCTGTTGTAGAATCCAATTGAGGAGAATATCAGGTCTGCCTTACGCCAATTAAATGGCAATACCGGAAGACTTCAAGCAGAATGTTCCGGTCTTCAAAGATGCACCAGTGATGCCGAGCACATGGATCGTTGTTTACAACAAGTACGTTCATGTGCTTACGATATTGCCAAAGCAACTAAGCTACTCGTCACGCAATTTCAAATGTAGATTCTTTCAATGTCACAGAAAAGTTTACAGAAGTATTAAGGAGTGTCTTTATTTCTTACTGAGTCTATTAGATGTTTTTTCTTTTGAATCTCTCTTATCTCTAATGGAGGGGGGGGGGGGGGGGAGTATTAGTCTGAAATTTCCTTAATTGATATTCGTGAATTTAATGTACTATAAATTAACATATCTTTATTCAAAATTAATGTAATTGAATTGTTTCTTTAGTTTGAAAATCAAAATCTATGGAATAAGATTATGTAATTTAAAATTATGTAAATTGTGAAAAATATTTATTATGTCATTACAACAATTGTTCACAAAGTAGTTGAAGAAAATATCCAGATCTATTACATTCGCGAATATCAATTAGAGTACTGATAGTTATGGAAAAACGTTTTATATAAATTTATTTTTCAACAATAATTCATTCATTCATCATTCTTTTGTTAAGTTTAATAAATACTAAGCGAAATAATTTTTTCTTTTATTATTATTAGATTATTAGAGAGAGAGGGGGGGAGGAAGGGGGAGAGAGGAAGGAAGAGAATTATTAAAAATATAGTTAAAAATTATTTAAATAATTATTTGAATACAATCTAACACAGATTTGAAAACATAACATTGTTTGAAATATACAGGGTGTTTGATAAATCTTTTGCACAGGGGCAGAATGGATTAAACTGAAAAGGCCTCTATCATTTTGTAATTTTCTCAATAGTTAATAAGATAATAATTGCTAAAAATTGCCGAAAATTGGTCTTCAATAATTTTTTACTCAAATCAATGACTCAATGAAATGAAATTTCGGTCCGTTTACAGTCAGAGTTCGTCACGATCAGAGACTGTACTCAATTTTCGATTTCAGTTTCGGTTTCAGTCTTTTTACCGATAACGGTTTCGGTCTTTTTGGTTCTGAAAAAAATCCGAAATCCAAGCGATTTTGGTTCTTTTACTGATAACTGTGACTATAATCATTTGGATTTAAGTTTTTTTCGATTACGGTATATGATTATCTACTGTAGAGAAAGATAATACACCAACATAAATTGCATATTTAAGAAAATTCATGTTTATTTTAAGACAATATTGAATTGGAGATATGTAAGCATTAAACAGTGTAAGGCCCATTTCTACCAATGCAGTTTAATCTCGGTTTAACTTAGGGCCTTAGCAGAAGGCTGACTTATAATCTTAAGACAGTTGCGCGTTACTAAAGACATGAGTCTTAGGCCCAATTCCACAATTCCATGGTTAACTCTTAACCGAGGTTCAACTTATTTCTTTCCAATTCTAGAAAAGAGATGAGGAATAAGTTGAATCACAGTTAAAAATTAATCATGAATTGTGGAACTGAGTCTAATTATAAAATACTATCTTAAGATTACAAAATCAGCCTTTCTGCTATGATCCTTATTTTTCATCTTTTTCTAATTCTTAAAACTAGAAACTAAAATGCTAATAAATATTTATTTAATAACCTCGTACAGAAAATTCACACTTTGGTTGCGAGAGATACACACAAGTAGTAGCGCGCGTATTGAAATGTATTGGGTTGTCCGGAAAGTTCGTGCCGATTTTGAAGGAAAATTGAAATACAGAAGATTTAAATTTTAGTATATATTTATTAAATTATATAGGTCAGTCGGCACGAACTTTCCGGACAACCCAATATAAAAAAAAGAAATAATGACGAAAACCGAGAGCGTTGTCGCGCTATCCTTTACATATGGATCACTCTATCAATCAGAACTATCAACAATTTTAGTAATTAATAATATCTTGTTAACTTAAATTGCGAAAATTGCAAAATGGTAGAAAATTTTCGATTCAGTTTAGTTCACTCTATCTTACGGCACCCTGTAACACACACACACACACACACGCGCGCGCGCGCGCGCGCGCGCACACACACACACACACACACACCTGCACGCACACACATACACACACACATACACACACACACACCTGACACACACACACACACACACACAAAATCATGTAGTAATATGATTTATTAATATCTAACAAAGACTGAATAGCGGCAAACCAATGAATTCTACATGTGTGCAAGTTAAGTTTATAAGTTTCGTTTAATAAGTCTTGCTCAAGCAAAGGACCCTGCATCAATCTTATAGAAAATGTCTTTCAGCGGATTTGGCTAATTTTTGGATATGTTGTAGTTCTCAAAAATTCGCAGAAAGACATTTCCCATAAGATTGGTGCGGAGTCCTTTTATATGTGAATTTTGTCACTGAAATGCTAAACTATAGATTTATTCAGAAACGTTAGAGTGCTTTTGTATGTCATCTTATTCTTGTTTAACATTATAAATGACAAAGATGAAACGACACATAGAGACATTAAGGCTACGTTTCAAAACTTTCTCTCCGAGGAAAATTTTATTTGAAATATATAGTACACGTAACATATACTATAGCATAAAAAAGTAAAATCTTCCTCGGAGAGGAAGTTTTGGAACGTAGCCTTGGATAATGTTTCCGAACATAGCCCGGTAAAAGATTATTTTGAAGGCTGGAAAATTCCTGGATATAAAATGTTAACAGATATTTTCACTGTATGTATAAGTCTTTCCTTGTATATGTTTATGTTTATCGCGTGCACGCGAGTTCTTATTGCATTATCATTGAAGGAATTTAACAAATGTATTATATATAAAAGTAAATTTTAAATCTGATTGTGAGATAACTCGTGTAAGATACAGATAAAAATTTTTTTACATCTGTTTGAAATATTTATTAATGCTATCAGTTTCCAAAAGTAACTGTAAAAATTGAATAAACTCTCATACTGTTTTTCTATATGAATCATTTTAATTTATCTAGTCGATTTTCTTAAAATCTTTGTAATAAAAATGTTTCTGACAAAAATCAATAATTTAAAGATATTTAATATTTCATGTCAATATGTATTAAAATAAAGTATAAAATATTTGGCTAACTATTGGTTTTTATTCCTTTAATATTTTCATATATAGAATAATTAGAGAAATTATATTATGTAAAAAAAATTATATAATTCTATTTAAAAATTATTATATTATATTAAAATTATAATATAATTCTATTTAAAAAATTTAGATAATCTGATTTGACCTAAAGGATATCTCCTCATGGTTAACCAAGTTCACTAGCTTTGTTCTCTCCCTCGTAACTAAATAACTTTTCTGAATTTTTATTTTAAACTTAAAGATTCAGAGATGTCAAATGGTTTCGCCGTGTCATGATCTATCGCTAATGTCAACGTTTTGTGAACCTTATTTACTTTATTAGGGTGAGAAGCACACTGAAATTGAGTTGCTCCTCCGAAGACTTCCTTTTATACAAACTCTGTTATGAGGGAGGAGAGATTTCGAGGAAGGAAAAAAAGGAAAAAGCTGTTTTCCATAATTTACTTACATTATAGCCCATATCTCTGTTTAAGTTATCTGAATGTTTTTGAATTTCCAAAGCCTCCCTGTACTTCGTGAAAAATATGCCGTAACTGTAGAATCGTTTTTTCAAGATTTTTGTCACCGAAGTATTTGGTGACTGAATGCTGTATTTAACTGATTGTATATTTCTGTCTGATATCCCGTTGATATTCCTTCATGCACACATTGATTATTTTCCCAATTTCATCGATGTATACTTTTCTGCAAAAGTAAGGTATTTTATATACTCCTGCAGAACTGAATAGAGGCCTTTGGTCTTTAGGATTTTTCAAGATGTAAATGCTTGGAAACTTGAAAAATGATTCGGATATTATGTTTGATATAATATTTTTTCAAAATCTTGTTGACCCGGCAAAACTTAAAGATTTTGAGAAAATTATCTGAATAAATTAAAATGGTCTACCCCGGCTATGTCCCAAAATTCACTGCCAGCGCTGAAAATCTACAGTTTATGTTACATATATTATACATTTTCAGCACTGGCAGTGAATTTTGGAATACTGCCCCTCTATATTTTAACATTAATTTGTATAACGAAAATGATACAATGATATTAATAATCTATGATATTATAATCTAAGTTTACACTATTTATAAACCCTATTGTATATTATTGTATATATCTTATTTCAATGTATTATTATTTAATATAACCTTTTAATTAGTCTTTATATATTTTATAACTTTTTGCTATCAAAAACAATCTGTACAATATTGCAGATACAAAAATAATCAAATGTTAAACATTATTTTATTTGACTTGTTAAATTTGGACAATAAAATATATTATTAATGTTATAAAGTAAGGCAATATTACAATGATATATCTATGAATTTTTATTACTATACATAGATGTGTATAGTAATAATATTGTACCACTGTACTATAATTTGTATAGTATAATAATAATCTATATAAATTATAAAACAATACATGTGAACACTGTAACTGTAATATATGAAAATGGAATGTATTTTCGCAAATTCTATTCTATTCTATTAATTCTATTAATTATCTAATGAAATGTCTACTATACAGATGTTAATACACGCACGCACGCACGCACACATACACGCAAATTTAATGCATAGAATACACTTGTATGTGAATACATCAATGACATATACACCTAGATTAAGCATTCTGTTAGTAGCTTGAAACCGGAAATTGACAATTTAAGTGGACCACAGACTTCTATATACTACTAGACTGCTGACTTGTTTGAAAAAGTGATTCTCAATTTTGATGTAATATTATACGCATGCGTCGTGACATATATCTGCATATGCGCACACATCAGCATACTATTTTGACAGGTTAATCTATTTAACAGTATTAAAACCACCAAATGCTTATTTTCATAATCCAGTTATTATAATTATTCTAATTTATAAGCAATTGAATAAGATCGCGTCTTTTATACATGTTTATTGATATTCAATTGTCTTTTCAATATCTTTATCTTTTTACTTGTACTCTTTCTCTTCCAAAAAAAATAAAATTTTTCGCTATGAGACACTACTTTCATAATAAGGCTGCTTTTTT